AGGTGTGGTGGTGGTGGTGGTGGCAGTGGCAATAGTGGTGGTGGCAGTGGCAGCAGCAGCAGCACCCATAAGTCTTTAATCTCAGCACTCAGGAGGCAGAATCAGGTGGATCTCTGTGAGTTCAAGGCCAGCTTGGTCTACATAGGAAACACCATGTCAGCTGGCACTATAGGGAGACCCTGACTCAAAAAGAGTGTGAGTATAAATATATACATACTCTCCATCTCTTGCCAATTAATGTTCTATATCACCTCAAAACTTTACCTGCTTTCAAGAAAGCCCACCTTGCACCTCCAGAACCACAAGCGAAAAAAAAAAAAAAACCTTTCTACATACCCAGTCTGTGATACTGTATTGCTGCCAACAGAGAACAGATTAACCACCATGTTCATTATCTTATTGAACCACCATGCCCTCCCCATGAAGTAGGTGTTAAATTACCATCATTTTATAGATAATGAAAGTCAGGACTGAAAGATTACATACTTTGTTCATAACCACAGGCCATGACGTAGTAAACCCACATTTGTAATCACTATACTACAATGATCCCTTTTCCTGCCCTGCTGACATCCATCTCCAGACTATGAATCTCAAGAAACCATCATTTAATTTAATACCTCAGTCCCTCTGCAGCACCTGACACAAAAATATAGTGAATGAGCCGGGTGTGATGACATGCAGAGGCAGGTGGATCTCTGTGAGATGGAAGTCAACCTGGTCTACATAGTCAGTTCCAGGTCAGCTAGGGCTGTAGGGAGACCCTGTCTCATAAAAACAAAAAGAAAAAAGAACAGTGAAAAGTGGGCATGGTGGAGCATGCCTATAGTCCCAGCACTTGGGAGGCAAAGGCAGGCAGATCTCTGTGAGTTCAAGGCCAGCCTGGTCTACATAGTGAGTTCCAGGCCAGCTGAGGCTACAGGGAGACCCTGTTTCGAAAAAGGAAAAAAAAAGTGAATGAAGCTGAACATTTATGTTAGTGCACACCTAATTTCAGCACTTGAGAATGGTGGCAGGAAGATCAGGAGTTCAAGGCCAACCTCAGCTACATTTCTAGTTTGAGACCAGCCTGGGTTATATAAGACCCTGGATAAAACAAGACAAAACAAAACAAACCAAAAGAAGTAAATGAATAAATATATTCAAAGTAATACTGTATAACTTTTATTTGTATATCTCTATCTCCCCTCCCCACATTCCTAGCACAAGAGTCAACCTCAGAAGGTATTTAATATATCCAGGGGAAAAAAAAAAATCTCAGAACTATAAAGAGCTTTTGCAACCACCCATCTTTTCCTCACTTCATCCAAAGGAATAGTCCCTAAAGGGTCTTTCTCCTACTGAAGAAAAAGACAATATGCCATTGAGGTCCTAAAGGGACAGAGTTCTAGCAGAGCAGAAGTGCAGCAGATACCCTGCTGGAGTAGAATCCAAGGAGAAAGACTAAGGTGCCATACTTGATTTATCTTTTTTGGTTTTAGTTTTTGAGAAAGGATCTCACTATATATTCTAAGCTGGTCTCAAACTCATGATTCACATACCTTCTGAGTGCTGGGCCATCGCACGTGGCTTTGACTTGCCCTGCCTTGCAAAGCAAATAAACACTCCTAATCCTGCCCTCTTCCTTCTGGGAACCGTCCAACATCTGAAATATACTCATTGAAATCTTTTTTTTTTGGTCTTTTTGAAACAGGGTCTCCCTGTAGCCCCAGCTGGCCTGGAACTCACTATGTAGACCAGGCTGGCCTTGAACTCACAGAGATCCGCCTGCCTCTGCCTCTGGAGTGCTGGGATTAAAGGTGTATGCCACCACATCTGGCTTGAAATCTTTATTATCCAAGTACATACCAAAAGAAATAGCCCGGGATCACAAGCTTCTTTGGTCTTCCTACTTCCTGTCTCTCTCCCTCTTCCCTTGGAGATGAAGGAGGCAAAAATACCCAGTCTCGGGCCATGCATGGTGGTGCATACCTTTAATTCCAACACTCAGGAGGCAGGGGGATCTCTGTGAATTCAAGGTCAACCAGGGCTGCATAGTGGGATGTCCTGTCTCAAAAACAAAAAACAAAAAACACCAGCAACAACAAAACAACAGAAACAGTAATAGCACCCTGGGGGCCAGGCCTCTGGCATCACCTTCAGAAGCAGAGAAAACCATTTTTCAGAAGACAGAGTTTCTGGTCACCCTTGTTTTTAAAAATTACTACATTTTGTGTGTGTGTGTGTGTGTGTGTGTGTGTGTGCACGCGTGCGTGTACAGACACTGTGGAAGTCAGAAGAGAACAACTTGTAGGATTCAGGTTCTCTCCTTCTACCAGTGGTTGGGACTGAACTCAAGTTATCAGACTTGGCAGCAAGCACCTTTACCCACTGAGCCATCTCCTTGGCCCTCTTTTCTGCTTCTGATTATTTTCAGCCCTTAAAAGTCCTGAGCATTTCCAGCAAACAAAGTCCCCAAAATCCCAAATTCTATGTCAAGAAACTTCTAGGAAAGGAGCACTGGTGCCACAGGAGTTGTGACTGAATGGAGAAGACAACATTCTCAAACATGGCCAGAGTTTTGAAAGATGAAGTTGGAAGTCAAGCATGATGATTCACATCTGTATTCCCAGCAGGAGGCAGGAGGATTGCTCCTAATTTGAGGCCAGCCTGGCCTACACAGTGAGTTCCAAGACAGCCTGGGCTGCAAAGTGAGGCCCTGTCTCAAAAAAACAAAACAAAAAAATATTCTAGCTACTTAGGAGACTAAGGCAGGAGGATCACAATGTCAAAGACAGCCTGGGCTACAGAATATAAGTCTGGCAGTACAACTTTTGACTCTGTCTCAAAATAAAAAGCAGAAGAGAGGGCTGGGGGATACAGTTCAGTGGTAGAGCACTTGCCAAGGATCTGTAAGGCCCTGGGTTCAAATCCTAGTACTTGAAAAGGAAAAACAATGAGGCGATACTGGGGCTGTGCTTCATGAGTGAAGGAAGCAGAGGAAAAAAACAGCAAGTTAAAAAACAGACAATATGCCGGGCGTGGTGGCACACGCCTTTAATCCCAGCACTCCAGAGGCAGAGGTAGGTGGATCTCTGTGAGTTCAAGGCCAGCCTGGTCTTTATAGTGAGTTCCAGGCCAGCTGGGGCTACAGGGAGACCCTGTCTCAAAAAGACAAAAAACAAACAAAAAAACAGACAATATGAGTTAACATTTACTGAATGCTTATTGGGTTCTTGGTACTGGGCTAAGCATTTTACACAAAGTAGCTTTGTGAACATCTCACAGTTTTTATGAGATATTTGCTGTTTATATGCCAAATGAAGAACTCTAGGCCCAGAGCTGTTAAAATAACTTGTCTAAGGCAATCCAGTACTTGGTAGGCTGGGATTCAAATGCAGATATGACTGACTCCAAAGTTAAATCACCTATGTGCACCACGTGTTGGGGGCTAGTTTGTGTAAAGGAGAAGAGAATGTGTGAAAGACCAAGGGATCCCTGAATGCCACACTAACTAATGATCAGGATGATGTTCCACAAGGGAGCCCATGTGCTAAGCAGTTCGGCAAGAAGAATGGTCTAGTGTGTTGATGGATGAAGAGAGAGGATCTGCTATAAAGACAGGAACACAGGCTCCTAGAAGTTCTAAAGGGAGGCAGGCAGCAACCTGAATGAGGAAAGCCTTGGGAGAAGCCAGATGAAATCAATGTATTCACCTTTAGAGTTAAGCAAAGAAAGATCTTCCTCAAAGAATACACTAAACACCTTTGTAACAGTGAAAAAAAAAATCTTCCTCAAGTCCCAGTACAGTCCACAGAATGCACATTAAATGCCAAGAAGGCATTAGGCCCTGCCCCAGGCAGCCTCCTGGTTTCTCCCTTTTCTCTATTTCCAACAGTAAAGTTAGTATCAGGTTGCTGATTGACTCCCCCAACCCAGGGCCATTAAGTGTCCTCTCCTTCCCCACTTCCACTCAGAGAATGAAGACAAACCCATTTTCTTGCAGGTTAACATTAAATTCATAAAACTTAATATTGCACTTTAACTTCAGTAAGTTTTCTATTTTAACAGTATCTTCACTTGACAGGTCTAGTTTTCAAGGTAAACAATAACTGAATGAACTCAATTTCACTCAAAAGTATTGGTTGAGAATTTTCTATATTGGGTGAATCACCAAGCTATCTTCCTCTTCCAGCTCTAAGTTCCGCTGCTGTTCAAAGGAATCCCTTAGGATGGGCACTCAAACCCCTACTGCTTCACTACGACTTGGTTGGACGGTCCGGAATTAGGACATGTCTAACAGTGCATCTGGGCCTGAGGGAGTGACCACACTTTAGATGTGTGTGGCTAAAAAGAAAGGGGAACTCAGGTTCTCGGCACTCTTGTGTAAGAAACTGTCCCAAAAGACATCCCCTCTCACTGAGGAGGTATGGGTGTCGGCCAAATACTTGCGAATGAGCCTCAGTTTTACAGACAGAGCCACCCCTTGCTTTCCCAAACCCTCCCAATTAGAAGATATTGCCCAGCCAGCGGTTCGGAGTTGGGAGGAACCGCTGGCTAAACTGGCTCAGCAATTCTTCCCAGGAAGGCTCAACCAGCAGACCAAGACCAAGACCCGACGATTCCCCAAGACTTTGGGGGAGGGGCGGGGGCTTTTCTAACCAGCTTCCCTAAGCATTGCCACGTGACAGCTCCCGGACTGGGCCAGGATCAAGAGGCCTGGACACGCACTCCTCGCACCCTTCAATCACTCAAGACACCCCTCCTTCCCGACTACATGACGGGCACAACAGGGTTACAGGTATTCCAAGCATGGGCAAACCACTGCGGTTCTTAAAGTCGTGTTTGTGTCTGGGCCCGCGCCGAGCCACGCCTATAGGTAGAGCCCTCCCACACCCCCACCATCAGCTCGCAGCTTCCCAGAGGCCTCGGTGGCGCTCCCAAGGCCCCGCTTCCGGATTCAGGGCGGCCTCCATCCTGACCTCTTAGGCACTTCCATCAGCCCGAACCCCGCGGCTCACCCTCTAGCGTCTCACACTGCACCAGGTTGAGGTAGTCCGCCTGGCTGAGCACCCCGGCCTTTAGGCCACGCACTAATCCCTCCAAGTAGCCATTGTCCACGTTGAAATAAAGCTCCGGGAAGAATGACATGGCTGAGGCGGGGGTGGCGGGACCGGAGAGCCCCGATCAGCCCGCACGAAGGCAACTCGATTCCAAGATCAGCTGACGCGGCGCCAGCAGCGGCCTGTCAAGTGCGTCAGGGGACGTACATGCGCGTCAGGTGACCACACTGGGGCACGGCTCCAAGCGGTGTCTAGCTTCCGGGTAAACTCGTGCGCATGCGTCTTGAGGAGGTGTGAGCAGCCGCGCTTGCGCACTAAGGGGAGGCGGGCCTTCCGCTCCCCAGCCGAGAGCAAAGCAACAGCTAGTTTGGAAGCTGACCGCGTGGTGGCGCTAGTACCCGCAGGATTGTAAGCGAGCCTCAGATTTCCCCGAGTTAGGTGCACCTAGCTCTTCAGGGACTAACCCGGTGAAGGTGAGGGTGTAAGCTATTTCTTATGCTCTTGCGGCGACCTCCTTACCAGACCGGAACTGAAGTCCGGTGAGGGGCGGATTTCGATGGAGGTCACGACTATTCCTAAGCAGGCCCTGGAGCCCATGCTAATACGCTAACTGGAGGTTACACCGGGTTTGCAGCTCTGTGCCCCGCTTTGGCTGCATTTGTTCCACTAGATTCTTCAGGGCTGGGTGTGGCCTCCTGCTTCCCCCAGAGTTGCCTGGTGCCTTAAAAGCACGCGTACGCATGGCTCAGAGGATGGGGTAACCTAACCCTGAGGTCATGGTGTGTGTAGTTTCCTGGCATGACGACGCCCCCTGCCCCTCCCGTCAGCCCAGCACCCGTTGGACAGCCACGTCCGAAATAACCACAGCTTTGGGATTGGTCTCACTCTTTATTCGTGTCCCCAGCCTCTGCCCCACATCCCTTGGCTAAGTGCGGCTGCAGGGGTTCGTGGCAGTACCCAGCTTGCGGCAGTAGCAGAAGGCATTAAAGAAGCGACAGTAGCACGTGGCGCACGGGTCGCAGCAAGGTACCTGCTGTCCTAGGCAGGACTCATGCAGCCGTACGCAGCGACGCGGGGAGCGCGACTCGCGGTTCTGTGGGTCTAACACCTGCATTAATAGGGAAGCAAGAAGGTGTCGACGGCACGTTCACAAACCTCTCCCACCCCAATCCCAGTAGGATGGCAGTGGAGTGTGGGGCAGGGGTGGTCTGCAGTGTCTGCCCTGGTCAGGTGGTTCGGAAGGAGGAAGAGGGGATGGTACCTGAATGCTCCCCACCTTCTCCTGAGCCCCATTCCCTAAGGAGTTACCTCCGCCAAAGCTTCTACCTTCTGCAGCAAAGCCTGTTCTGCTTGGTTTGCAGTTGTCCTCTTGCGAGCATTCAGACTTAGGCCTGGGGCAGAAGATGTGAGGGCAGCACACCTGCCGTACACAAAAGTACCCACCTCCCAGGGCTGGAATTGAGATTAGGGTAGGAGGCAGGTAGAAGCGTGCCCCATTCCACCCATTCCCAATCCTGCCCATACTCACCTGGGAATTCTGGGAACAGAGCCTGGTCAGGCCTTCTGATGCCCTCCAGCGGGGGCAAGCCCATCTGGACCCCCTGTGTGGCAGGCAGTGCCAGCAGCAGGGCACAACTCAGTAGCACTGCAGTCAGCATGGCCTGTCTCAGCAGGAAAACAAAACAAAAACAACCATTTAGTCTCTCCTGTTCCTTGGTGTGCCCTCCACAAACATCCCAGAGAGACGTGGCAGAAAGTCAGAATCCCTGCCCAGTCTGAGGACTTACCTTTGCTTGCTGGTCCTTGTCTAGAGAGTTCCTGGCCACTTGTGCCCTGGGCTTATATGACAGGGTCTAATAAAGGGTCTCCACGTGACTGCTGCAGCAAAGACATGAGGGGCCCTCCCTGGAAGGTGGGGGTACATTTCAGGCTTTCTGCCTAGAGTCCAAGCCTTTGGGTGCTCTACTGGAGGAGCACCCATCTCCAATTGGACATACAGTCTCCAGGAAACAATTAAACTTTGGGAACAAGATAGGGTGTCCAGTCCCCAAAATTTCCATAGGATCAGGACCTAGGGGATGGGTCTGGCTGGAACCATTAGCAATAACAAGGCAGGCGGCCCCTGGATCCTAATTTAATTTCTGGCCCTGGAGATGTTCACTTAGCCTTTATGTGCCATGTTGTTTCCTTTGCTTCCAGGAACTTCATTCAGGAGCATCAGAGGGGGCCAGTGAGTGTCATGAGGCAAGAATGGAGTGAAAAAGTTGACTAGGTTTCTTTGGGAAGAGAGAAGTGGGGAAAAACCTTTCCAGCTAAAACCAGCCCCTCCTGGCTCTGTCTTTCCTCCCCCTGCCCCAGACTTCTTTAAGACCCCTACCCCTATTCCTGTCCTCAAGCTCCTTTCTGCCTAGGGTTCCTGGAAACCAAGGGAGCAGAACAGACTGTTCCCTGGGTGGGCACACAGCTTCAGAGTAAAAAGCTTTCAGGCCTCATTAGTACTAATGGCCACTCCCTTCCTCCCTGTGTTGTGAGGCCTCTGCCCACGCCTGCTCTCATCAGCTTGAGGACATGGTGTGGATTGCCCATTTGTGGACATAGCATGACACACAGGATCCCACTAGTCCCTGCCTTCCCCCACCCCTCTGTGGGACTTTTTTTTTTTTCCAATCAGATACTTGCCCATCTGGGAAAGTGATCGGGTTAAATCAGCTTGGAGGCCCCCAGTGCACAAAGAGGTGGGAGAAGATGGACAGACTATCAGGATTTCTGGGAAGGAGGTGCTCTGCAGAGGGTGAGCCTATGGCAAGGCTCTTCCATAAAGAGGCCCTGTTATCTAGAATCAGGCTAGCATTGGGCTCTTCTGCAATTGCATTGCTCCAGGTACAGTCTTCAAGCTCAGGGGTCCACTTTCTACTGCCCAGGTAAGGTGGGGGGCATGAGGAGTCAGGGAAAGTCTCTTTGGGGAAGTAGTCCCTGAACTCTGCCCTTTGGAAGCAAAAGGGGAGTCTCCTTTTCTCCTCCTGAGAATGGTGTAGGCAGTTTGGTGTTTCTGTCACAGAGAAGACCTAGTTATTAAGGCCTAACTGGAAACTGACCTTTCTCAGAAATGGTGCTTGTGTTTGGTACCCCATTTCAAAACTATCCCTTCTCTAGTGTGATTGGCCAAAAGTACTGGGCTTCATCCTAGGTCACTTGGCACTCAGGCAATACATAAACTGTATCTGAAGCACTTTCCCCAGGTATTTGTGACCCAGCCCCATTCCTGGAGATGCTGGTTGAAGAGGTGCTTGTAAATTGGAACAATGCCCCACTGAGCTGAAGCACACTTGTAATCCCAGCACTCAGGAGGCTGAGGCAGGAAGATTGTTGAGGAAAGGACTCTGGTCATTTGGCTGGGTTTATTCAGTACCTATCCTAAGGTCTGCTCTTCACATCTCCAGTGAACTTCCTCCTACCCTGAAGCTCAATTATCTTCACCTGGTAGTATATTAGCCAACATGTGGATGCTGGGAACCAAACCCAGGTCCTCTGGAAGAGCAGCCAGCACTCTTAACTGCCACCATCATCTCTCCAGCCACCACTGCTGCTCTTACAGAAGAATTAGTTCCTAGAACCCACACAGTGGCTTACAACCATCCGTAACTCCAGTTCCAGGAGCTCCAATGCCCTCTTCTGGCCTTTGGGGGCACCAGACATGCTTGTGGTGCACATACATACATGAAGGCACTCACACATACTCATATAAATAAATAAAATTTTTAAAAATACAGTGACAAAGATGATGGGCAGCAAGATGGTATCTGCCAGCAGGATCCTTCAGGTAGTGAAGCCACATGCTCCATTAATCAGGTTCTCTGACGGAAGAGACAATCATAAACTAAGTGCCTCAGAAGCTTTGAGATCAGCAGGACTACCATTTCACTCTGATAATTTCACAGCATTCTAAAGAAAGTATATCACCAGATTTCCTGATGCATTAGGGTCCACCATACACTGCAAAAATAATTAAAATATTACCTCATAAATACAGACAAGAGAGGCTGGAGAGATGGCTCAGTAGTTAAGAACACCAGCTGCTCTTGCAGAAGACTTGGGTTCAGTTCCCAACACCTACATTGCAACTAACAACAGTCTGTAACTCCAGTTCCAGAGGATCAGATACTTTCTTTTGGCCTCTACAGGCATTTCATGACACTGGTACACTTGCAGACATGCAGGCAAAACACTCATACACAAAATATAAATAAATAAATAATAAATAAATAAATAATAAATAATAAAGAGACTGTAGAGATAGTTCAGTGGTTAAGAGCACTGGCCGCTCTTGCAGAGGACCCAGGTTCAAATCCTAGCATCCACATAGTGGCTAACAACCATCCATTAACTCCAGTTCCCAGGGATCTGATGCCTTCTTCTGGCCTTCTCATGCATTGTACAACATGAGTACACTTACACACATGCAGGCAAAGCATTCATGCAGATAAAAAAATTTAAAAATTAAATAATAAATTTAAATTTAAAAAGAAAATGGGCTGGAGAGATGGCTCAGCAGTTAAGAGCACTTACTATTCTTGCAGAGGACCCAGTTCAGTTCCCAGCACCCGCATGGTAGTTAACAACTGTCCTTAACTCCAGTTCTAGGGATCCAACGCCCTCTTCTGACCACCACAGGCATTGCATACACATAGTGCACTTACATAAATGCAGGCAAAACACTCATATATATGAAATAAAAATAAATAAAATAGCCGGGTGTGGTGGCACACACCTTTAATCCCAGCACTCCAGAGGCAGAGTCAGGCAGATCTCTGTGAGTTCAAGGCCAGCCTGATCTACATAGTGAGTTCCAGGACAGCTGGGGCTACAGGGTGACCCTGTCTCAAAAAGACCAAAAAAAAAACACCCAAAAATAAATAAAAATAAAAGAAATACAGAAACATATCTCAAGAAACAGAATTTATTCAAAATGGCAATCTAGAGTAAACATTGTGACTATTGGTCATCAAACAAAAGAATTCTCTTTACAATAAAGGACTTCCAAGATAATAAATGAAAATTTGTATATTGAACAACTTTAAATACTTCGCGAAAAGAATGAAGTAAAGAAAATTTAGATGGATACTTGGATACTTGCCTCTCCAAGTATTCATCTAAAGTTTCTATACTTCTACACTTCATATATCTCGGTTGGCTTCTCCAGAAGCTTATCTAATTATTTATCTACATTAAATTTATTAAGTCTATATTTTTTCTTTTTTTTCTTTTTTTGGTCTTTTTGAGATAGAGTCTCCCTGTAGCCCCAGCTGGCCTGGCATTTGCTATGTAGACCAGGCTGGCCTCGATTTCTCAGAGATCTGCCTACCTCTGCTCCCAAGTGCTGGGATTAAAAGATGTGTGCTACCATGCCAGGCTCAAGTCTACAATTTTTTCAAATTTTTAAAATTATTTTTATTTAATGTGTATGAATGTATTACCTTTGTGTACATAAGTGCGTCAATGTCATGCAATGCCCAGGGACGTGGGAAGAGGGTGCCGGATTCTCTGGAACTGGAGTTACAGACAGCTGTAGGCCACCATGTAGGTGCTGGGATTCGAACCCAAGTCCACTACAGAGCAGCCAGTGGTCTTAACTGCTGAGCCTTCTCTCCAGCCCCAAGTCTACATTTTTAAATGTCAAACTATTAACTTACTCTTGATTATCAAGTGCTACTAGTGATGAGCTATTCAAAGCATACAATATCAAGTAAATGGTCATAGATTTCCCATGATTTCATTTTTTTTTCTGTTTCTGTTTAGACAAGAAGATAATTTATTAAGCAGAATACTGCTTTAGGGAACTGGTTGTCTTGAGATTAGATGAATCAATGAAATATTTCCATTATTGGTTCTTAATTTTTTTTTTTTTGTCTTTTTGAGACAGGGTCTCCTTGTAGCCCCAGCTGGCCTGGAACTCACTTTGTAGACCAGGGTGGCCTCAAACTCACAGAGATCCACCTGCCTTTGCTCCTGAGTGCTAGGATTACAGGCCTGCACTACCACATCCATCTTATTTGTTCTTAATTCAATGACTTATTTTTCATTCACAAGCTTACCTGAGTATAACTGACTTAATAAGCATATCCTATTCTAAATAAAAATGTAGGTGGAGCCAGATGTGGTGCCGCACACCTTTAATCTACTCAGGAGGTAGAAGCAGGCAAGATAGAGCTACAGGGAGACCCTGTCTCAAAAAACACCACCACCACCAAATGTAATTGAACTAAAACTGACTGTGAGATTAAGACCAGGACGATAATACAAAAAAAAATTATTTGTACCTATATTCAGAAAAAGTGACAGTGTATAAAGTGGAAAACAAAACATCAAGATAAATGTAGCATAGAAATAAATGTTTCACTAAAAAGCAGAAGACCCGGGTTTGAATCCCAGCACCCACATGGCAGCTAACAACTGTCCATAACTCCAGTCCCAGGGGATCCAACAGCTTCTTCTGACCTCCGTGGGCATTGCATGACACCGGTGCACTTACCTACATTCAGGCAATACATGAATACACATAAAATAAAAAAATAAAAAATACAGTGGTTCAAGGCCAATTTGGTCTCCATAGTGAGTTCCAGGCCAGCCAGCTGGGGCTACAGGGAGACCCTGTCTCAAAATAATAATAAAATAATAATAATAATAATACAGTGGCATAAATTATTCCTATAATTCCAGCCCTGGGGGCGGGTCTTGAGTTAGAGGCCAGGCTACATGATAAAATGCTGTTTAAAAAAAAAAAGGCGGGCGTGGTGGCACACGCCTTTAATCCCAGCACTCCGGAAGCAGAGGTAGGCAGATCTCTGTGAGTTCGAGGCCAGCCTGGTCTGAACCCAGGACAGCTGGGGCTACAGGGAGACCCTGTCTCAAAAAGACCAAAAAATAAAAATTAAAAAAAAAAAAAGCCAAGTGTAGTGGCACTCTTGTAATCCCAAGCCCAGAATTTGGGATATAGAGGCAGGAAGAACAGAAATTCAAAGCAACCTGGACTACACAAGACTGTCATAAATAAATAAATAAATAAATAAATAAATAAATAAATAAATAGTAAATAAATGGGCCGGGTGTGGTGGCGCACACCTTTAGTTCTAGCACTTGGGAGGCAGAAGCAGGCAGATCTCTATGAGTTGGAGGCCAGCCTGGTCTACATAGTTCTAGTTCAGCTGGTGCTACAGGGAGACCCTGTCTCAAAAAGACCAACAAAAACAACAACAACAACAAAAAGTACCCTTTTGAGGAAACACAATGAAGCATTTATTGAATGCTGAAGATTGTTTCAAAATAATTTGAGGTGGGAAATGATATAAATGAAACAAACTTGCTTGTAAATTGGTGATTGTTGTAACTGGATGATGGGTACATGGGCTTCATTATCCTATTTGAGCTACATTAGTGTATTTGGAGTTTTCCATAATAAAAATGAAAATTCAGATGTGCTGGTTCATACTTT